AAACTCCAAACCCACAAAAGTCCACTATAAAGATGACTCAGATGGCCTTTTTTTATTATCTTCAAATCCCATTTTTGCTAATCAGCTTTATTTGTAGGACAACATAGCTATTTTCATGGCTACTGTTGAATTTTGCAATTGATAGACTTTGAAATAGGAACATTATAAGATGGCTTCACTTCACATGGTTTAGGGCGGAAGTTTACTTGTTTCTTTAAATGTTATTGTGCTCAATGAGTCTGACAGCCCTTGTGATTTTCAAAGACAGATGTTAAACATATTAATCCTATTATTACATAAAGCGTTTTATTTATGTAATGAACATGAGAGATATTACTATCACAATATCATTTTAAAACATCTATATTTCTGCAAGGCACCAATATTAAAATATTTTCCAATTATAAATGCCCTGCATGACATAAAGGATACTTTTGAAACTACAGAAAAGCATTAAGAAAGCAATATTGCCCCCCCACACTTTAATTGCATCTCTCGTTTAGTTTCATATTTTACAATTAGAAACATGAACCATTTTGAGTTAATTATTGTATTAAGTGTGAGGTTGAGGTCAAGGTGTTTGGTTTTGTTTATTTTCTGCATACAAACATCCAGTTAGTCAACATCATTTGTTTTGGGTATATCACTTTTTTTAAAAGATGTTTATTGATTTTAGAGAGGAAGGGAGAGGGAGAGAGAGATAGAAACATCAGTGATAAGAGAGGGTCACTGATCAGCTGCCTCCTGCATGCCCCCTACTGGGAATCAAGCCCACAACCTGGGCATGTGCCCTGTCCAGGAATCACACCTGAGACGCTTTAGCCACTGAGCCACACCAGCCAGGACTCACTTTCTGTATTTTTTAAGCGGTTTATCTAGGGATTACAATATGCATCGTCCTTAACTTCTCTCAGTCTACATAGAATCAATATTTTACCATTTTAATATTGGAATGTAGAAACCTTATATCCATATGAGTCCCTTGTCCTCCTCTTTTTACATTTGATTTATCTTACGTATTACATATACACTGAAAACCTCATTAGACAATTTAAAAATATTTTTATTATTTTTTCGTTCAACCATTACTCATATTTGAAAGAACTCCAGGGGAGTAAACTAGTGTATTATGTTTATATTTACCCACATGTTTATCATTTCCTTTCCTCTTCTTCAGTCTCGATGTTCCAAGTTTCCTTCTGGTGGTATATTTCCTTTGTCTGGAGAACTCCCTGCAGCAATTCTTTCAGAATGGGTCTGTTGACAATGGATTTTCTTAGTTTCTTAATATTTCCCCTTCATTTCTAAATGATATTTTCATGGGACATAGATTTCGAGATAGACACTTCTTAGATTTCAGCACTTAAAAAATTGTTTGTCACTTTCTTTTGGCCTCCCTGGCTCTTAATATTTCCCCTTCATTTCTAAATGATATTTTCACGGGACATAGATTTCCAGATTGACACTTCTTAGATTTCAGCACTTAAAAAGATTGTTTGCCACCTTCTTTTGGCCTCCCTGGTTTTGGTTTTTCTGTTTAAAGGGAAAATTCACAGGTAGCTGATTGAATTCTTGCTTTCTCATAAGTATTGTATCATTTGTCTTTGACTTTTTATTCAGAAAGTATTGTGTGTGTGTGTGTGTGTGTGTGTGTGTATGTTTATTATCTGTTTTAAGGTTTCAACAGTTTGATTATCGCTGGATATGAATTTCTTTGGGTTTACTTATTTAGGGTTTGCTGAGTTTTTGCACTTGGGGAATTATGTCTTTTGTCAAATATGGGAAGTTTTCATCATTATTTTTTCAAATAATTTTTCTTCAGTGAGCACTATATTTATTCTAGAATTGGAGTAACATGAATGTTACATCTTCTGGCATTATTCTATAAGTCTCTGAGTTTCCTTCTTCTCCCCCCCCTTTTTTAAATCTCTGTTGTTTAGATTATATACTTTTTATTGATATGGACTCAAGTTCATTGAATTTCCTCTGCTATCTCCATTCTAGGTTTGAACTCATTCAGTGAGTTATTTTTTTTAATTTAGGCTATTTTTTTAGTGTTCTAAAATTTCATTCTGGCTCTTTATACCTCCTATTTCTTTGATAGCACTGCCTAATTTTTTATTTGTTTCTATTGTTTTATTTTTCTTGCCTGTTGGGCATTTTTATAAAAGGTGCTTAAAACCTTTATTTGATCATTCCCATATCCTTGTCATCTTCATGTTAATGTCTGTGACTGTCTTTCCCCCTCTGAGTGTAGACTTTCCTGCTTCTTTGTATGTGGAGTATGTGACTATTATGGTTGTGTCCTGGGTGTTTGACTATTATTTCTGAAGATTATGTGTCGTATTGAAATTCTGTGGAAATTGTTGTTGATATTTTTGGTCTACCAGCAGATCCATCCAGTTGGATTCCGTGTGAATGTTCCTGCCTCTTTCTGTGGATCTTGTTGCTAATACAGTGCTTTGCAGTGATAGCTGGACAGGTCCCAGGTGTGCAGCCCAGAGGCGGGTCTGGGCCTCAGCAGTGCTCTGAGCAGCCCAGTTCTCATGGTCTGTGCTCTCTGTTTGGTTACATGTGACTCAGGGCTGAGTGTGGAGTTCACAGAAGCACTACACCGGGTCATTTGCCCAAACTCTTCCCTCTCCAAGGTCCTCAAAACATCGTTGCTTTCCCAACACTCTGCTGTTCTGTCTGCCACCCAGAAAGCTGGTGCCTTTCCCCTGCTCATGTGCTTCTGCAACTGGAACTGCATTTGGGCCAAGTGGACAGAGGGCAGAGAGAGAGACCGAAGGGAGTTTGCCCACCTTCCGGGTCCACAGAGGAGGCTCTCCCCCTCAGGGCCTGGTGAGTGGCTCTGTATGTAGATGCCAGGAGGTCCTGGGAGGGGAGGGGTGGTTTGGATCTTGTCTGGTGGGACTTTGAATCCTGGTCTCCTTCCTCAGTCCACCTGCTGCTGTGGGCTCTTCACAGACCTCAGGTGGCTGCTCCCTGCCGCCCACCCAGGATTTATCGTTGCTCTGAGTGGGAGAGGTGGGGTGAGGTGTGATCATTCCATGGTACCCAGGATCAGAACCTCATCGCCCACTTTGTTTGTATTATCGTGGGGAAAGAAACAGAGAATGAAATGTACCATTCTCACCAGTTGAAACTGTACCATGTAGGGGTGTTAAATACTTTCACAATATTGTGCAAGCATCCCTGCCTAGATTGCGAGCTTTTCCATCATCCCCAATGGAAACTCCAAACCCAGGAAGTAGTCTCTCCATGTTTCTCCCCGCCTGCCTCCCCCCAAATCCCATGGCAACCACTTATCTGTATGGATTTGCCCTGCTTCACTTTCTAACAGTTTGCAGAAATAGAATTAGCATATCATGAAGTCACCTATTTCAAATGTATAATCCAGTGTGTGTGTGTGTGTGTGTGTGTGTGTGTGTGTGTGTGTTGTACATTTACAGAACTGTACTCATTTATTTTTTAATATTTTGATATATTTCCTCCCAGTCTTTTTCACTGTTCTTTCTTCCTTCTCTTTTATGATCTGTTTGAATTGTATTTATAAAATAAAACAGGAATCATAACATCTGTGCACCTTTGTTGCTTCTTTAAAAAAAACAAAACAAGCTAAATAGTGCCTTTTGAGTATATTTCAAAGCCATGGTTCCCAATGCTGTGCTTGATGTCATCAAATCAGTACGCTGTCATTGATGGCCAGTGCTCCCATTTCTATACTGTCGTACTTACAATGCTTTTTTTCCTAAGTAATGCTGCGGGGAACTGCCATGTAAAGAAACATGTGTTGTGTATCCCTGCTTATGTTCTTGGGAGCTGTTCTGGGAGGTGATCTTTCTGGGTTCAAGGGCACACAGAAGAGCACTGGTTTATAGACTGGGGGCTCTGGCACATCCTAAGTAAAGATTCCTGTTTTTGTTTTTGTTTGAAAGATGGTAAAACAAAAAGAAACGTTCTTTCCAAAATGTATAAAATATACATCAGAAGTCAGTTCCAAGACCTTCTTATCCTTTAGTAAAAGTTTCAAACACTTGCAACATACTGTCAGGTGCTCAGAGTCAGGGGTGGCTTCATCGGTTAAGAAAATACCAGAAACACACAGAATACACTGTGCATGCAGCCCTGAGATTTAGTTCAGCCTCACTGTTTGAGTGGACGGTGGAGTCCGCAGTCCCCACAGAGGCAGCGTGCCCATATGCTCCTGCTTGCTTTGTCATCCCCACTCCACATATGCTGTCACTGGCACAAGCAACAGCCCACCCACTCCTCTCACTCACACACATTCTCCTGTTGGAACAATCAATTACATGGTGACCCTAGAGAAGCCTTTCAGATTTGTAGAAGCAGGCTTTGGTAGGGCAAGGATAAGCGATGCATGGTGTGGATATCCCAAATTCTCCTCTTTGAGCAGAGGGAAGATATCACTGATCAATCAGGCTCTCTCTGGTATGAGCACTGAGCTCAGAATCATCCCCAACACAGTCCTATGGGGGCTTATTACCATGTGTTTACAACTGGACCATAAAATGTAACCCAGTTGCCAAGACACGTAGGTGTCACTACTGGCCCTTAACATCAGAGAAGACACTGTGTGACGCCCAGTGACTATTCCCAACCATCTTGAACGGGCCTCAGGGAAGGATGCCTGAACCTGGTAGACAGGGCAAGGTGGAGTGGGGGAGGGGGAGGGGGAGCATGCCAAGAGGGAGCCTTCGCCCCGGGGAACTTTCGCCTTCCACTCCCTCGTTTGGACCTCTTTCCTCATGCCCTCCAGGACCGGCTCCTCCTAATTGTTTCTGGATCACACAATCGAAACGCCAACTGAAGCTTACAGAAAAAAAAATAGTTCTAATGAAAAATGTAAATAGGCAATTAATTAATCCTGGGCTTGCTTTAAGCCGAGTGATTAGAAGCAACTTCCTTTTTCCCTTTCATGTTGTTTTCATGCAGAACCTTCTGATTTCCACCCCCTCTTTTCCTTTTCTTTGTAGGTTTCAAGGCAGCAGATGAATTGTGACAGAGAGCAGCTAAGGGTAGGTGCACCTGCGTGTGAGCACTTCCTGCTTTCCGTTTCTGTGCGATAAGCAAAAATGTCCTTGTCTCTCCCAAGACACGGGGTTCTAAAGAGTGGGCTCCGTCCGCAGCCTGGTAGCGTTGAAAATATTTATCCCAGCTAATTTGGTATTGATTGGGCTGGTAAATACAGTATATCTCCTTTTGAAGTGCCATTATAGCAGATATGGATTTTTTGATTTAGATTCAGCAATAAATACTTCTCTTCTGGAATTCGTTTGACATCATTGTACTCGTTTTATGTACAACAGGAGGCCTAAGTCATAACAAAGGTCAAAAGGATGTCTTGCTGCCTTCTTAACGTGACTACCAGGCTGTGTGCTGAGTGGCTAAAAGGCCCTCTCGCTGTGACCTGGGGTGGGTGAGCCCCTCAGATGTCAAGGGCGTGTTCTAGGGGAATGCATATCCCCCATAGACCGTTTGGTTTTGTGGCATTTGTGCCTAAAGGAGAAAGAGACAGATTTAAAGCATCATATGTGATTTCCCTTCTTGAAAATGAAGCTCTCTCAGCGCTCAGATGTGCTAGGTGCAAAGAGAGAACGGTTGGTTTCTAGATGGAGCTGGGGGACACTGTCTGCTTCCATGGGGTTGTGTTGATGGCCTTCTTGGCACGGGTGCGGTCTATCAAGAAATATCAGGATGGGAGATCCCCATTTGTGTGTGTTTGTAAATGCATTCATGGTTTGGATGGATGAGCTCGAAGTCATAATTAGCCCAGCTTTCATGTCACTGATGGGTGTTGGCAGTTTGTACTGGACCACAGGCCTCATGGTCCTGTCTCCACATTATTATGAAAATGAGGGGGATCTGCTGCTTTTAAAACGACAGCAGCATGGTGTGGGGTCGGGGGAACCATTGTGCCCAAAGGGATCCAGTATATGAGGACCATGTGCTCAATAACCCTACCATCACTGTAACTTTCCCGGGCACTCACTCAGGGCCTGTCTTGAGATGACAATGGCTCCTAGTAGCGTTGTTTCCATCCACAGTTGCTATCAGTGTCAGGTCTGCGAGATCCTTCCATCTAACAAACATCACAAACCACAGAATCCAGTGGCACGGAGCCGAGAAAGTGACGTGAGGATTTTTTCCTTTGATGTGTATTTTTTTTACATGGTCCCCCAGCATGGTCCTCTTTAGTAACCTCTCATCTCCCGTGCACCTGTGCCTACATCAGCTGTGACGCCCTCATGAAGCAGCCTGCATGATGGGTTAAGCTTTCCCGATCTCTCTCGTTGCTTTCCCCCTGCCGTCTGAATCACTGGTTCGTCCTAGTAAATAATGTATCCCCACTTCAGCTTTCTCTTCCTGTTTGAATGGGGATGGTGGCCAGAACTAGGTCAAGAGGGATGTGTGCTTCGTCTCCAGGAGTCCCTGCTACATTCGGCGACATTAAGATCATTTCAAAATCTCTATTACAAATGAGACTGGGCTGGCACTTTCCGGACAGGGAGGCAGGGAAGGGCTTGAGTGCGGTTTGAGGGGCTTATTATTTTGCACCGATGAGGACATTGTCAACAGGGCTGTGGTTTAGGAGGGAGAAAGGAGCCCTTCCCATGATGTGAAATAAATTCAAGTGGTGGTTCCATGTAACGGGTCATATAGTTCAGTGCACAGGTTGACTCTGAAGGCCCCGTATGAGCCCATCCCTGAGAGCAAGAAGTGGTGTTCTGTCTATGTTGCTGTGGCAGGCTTTTTAATTTTTTTAAACATCTTAAACTAATTTGTGTTTTGAATGAATAGATAATACACTTAAATAAAAGGAATACAGATACATGTGGTTCACATGTAACCGATACCTAAGCAGGTGTAGTGAGGGTTTCCCTTTCCACTCACTGGATCCTCCATCTCCAGTCCCTTCCTGGGAGACAGCAATGTCCTAATGCGCTGCCTCTCCCTTGACACCTATGCCTCATCTGTGGGTATTTTCTTTTTTTAAAAAAAAAATATATGTTTTTATTGACTTCGGAGAGGAAGGGAGAGGGGGAGAGAGAGAGAGAGAGAGAGAGAGAGAGAGAGAGAGAGAGAGACATCAATGATGAGAGAGAATCATTGATTGGCTGCCTCCTGCACACCACCAACCGGGGAACCAGCCTGAAACCCTGGCATGTGCCCTGACCCAGAATCGAACCGTGACCTCCTGGTTCATAGGTCCACGCTCAATCCCTGAGCCACACCAGTGGGGCTATGGATATATTCTCTGTTCCATCCTTCCCTGTTCTTCTGTCTCTCTCTTTGACCTCCTGCCTTTCTTCTCTCCCTCCTTTTCTTCCTGTATTCTGCGTATACTCAGCCCCTCTTCTAGCTGAAAACAAACAAACAAACTCTCTTGATCAATGTGATGTTTTTTAAGGAGACATTTTTTGGAGGTTGCAGATTGAAAGAAATTTGGTTCTGATCTGAAATGCTAATACGTGGCCACCTCAATAAAATGCATTTTCCTTAACCTCATTATATTTTTCTTAGAAAGAGAGACACTGGAAGAACAGTGGGTATCTGTTTAGTTGCCCACATCATTGAAGGGGGTCTGCCGGCCACACTTCTTAAAACATGTTTTAAATACAGCAATCACACCGCCTTTCCTGATTTGTCTACAATATGATTGGACCACGGTCATGTTGCCAAGCTTATATTCCTCCCTTCGTACATTCTCTCAGGTTGTCAGAATATCAGTGGGTATTTGCAAAAGGCATCCCTTTTTCTTGGCCTTCTGGGAACAGAAAAGGATGCAGAAAGATGCAACTGCTCCTGCATCTTTTGTGCAGGTGGACACTGCATAGGGATTGGCAGAGCCAAGACCTGCTCCTACTGCTCTCCTTTCTTTTTCTCCTTTACTTGGTCTGATTTTTTTCACAAATTCAAAATTATTTTTTTTTTCAAAATGGGCATTTCTTCTATTATAAAGTTTAAAACTGGATTCTCTGATTAGTTAATTTTCAGGAAATGAAAAGTTAAAGACAGTCCAACTGTGTTGTTGTTGTTGTTGTTGTTGTTGTTTTTAACTGCAGGACTTCTCAGAGCCTTTAATGTGCAAAAGTGAAATGCAGAGAGATGGCTCTAATGCACAATTTCCTGCAAACTCATCTGATCACAGAACATTTTTTTGCATCCAGAGCATTCTCTGAGAAATACTCTTGAAAATTTTATCAGTTTATTTTTTCCAGTTAGAATGATATAGTCTGCAAGTTATGGAAAAGCTACGTGTTATATAAGAGATAAAAGCATTTCATCACCTCCCACGGCCAAGTTGATTCTGGGAAGTCTTGGTAGCCAGGCCGAGGTTTGGAATCTTCGTGCTTTTCCTGGCCTTTCTTTCCTTCTTCCCAGAGGAAGAAGCTTCATGTGCTCACATGACAACACTCTCAGCAGGAGGGATGCAGCGGAGGAGGTTTTCCTCATAGTACTTGTGTGTTGTTGGAGAAAAGTCATTCCCAGAAACCTTCTCTGCAGATGTTTTCCTAGATTTCATTGGCCAAAATGTATGCTAATCATTCCCACAGACCGGGGATCTCAGTGATTGGCCACAGCAGCCATATTTTATTTCCAGGGACAGGCACACTGTCACCTGAACCAAACCAGGACTTGCTGAAACAGGAGGAAGAGGAGAATGTATGTGGTGGAGTTACCCAATAGAGAGCGACAGAAGCATCCACACGGGCCCTCTACATCACTCATGATGTTGGTTTCCTGCCAACTCTTTTATGTGGTCCCTCCATCCTGAATGCATGACTGTGGGGACCCAAACAAAGCCTCAGCAAGTGTCTGGACTCTGGTTGTGAATTTGCAATAGATGTTCTCTCTGCTAATTCCCTGTCTCACAGATCCCATCCGCCAGTCCTCACTGACACTTTACCCAGCTTTGCTCTCTGTCTGTCTGTTTCCTCATGCTCTTTGGTGGCATCCTGCATGCTGTCTTTGCTAGTTTCCTCTCTGCCTCCCGGATAGACAGCAGACAGGAAGCACCTCACGGCAGACCCCAGCTCAGCCCCAGAGAGGCAGTCCGGGAGCTTCCTAGCCCCTACCCTTCCCAAGAGAAGGGCATCAGCCAGTTACTCCTAACAATGATTCACCTGTCTCAGAAGGCTGTTAGGATTGCTCATGACCTCAATGAGCAAAGTAGAGAACAACAACAACAACAAAAACTTGAACATCTGTCCATCTTGAGTTTACTCAGTCTATAGTAGACTGAGCCCGGTTCTGAGCTTGCCTTTGAAATTGTCACTGGATTCCATTGGAGAGATGGTCCACAGAGCTCACCATGAAATCTGTCCATGAAGGGCCTCTGACTCCATGGGTTGCCTTGACCAGTGGGTCCCAAGATCTCCGCTGACAGGTGGGGGCAGTGCTAGTTGTACCATTGCCATGACCCAACCGTCAACACTGACCTCTTTGGCATCCGGAACTGACAACTGGACAAATAAACAAGTAAGAGAGAAATGGCATGGCCTCCGAAGCCCTTGTCTCCCTTGGCAACCTACCTCTTGGAAAGATGGTGTGCTTCTAGGGCAGGGGACCAAAGGACCGCTCTTGTTAGCATTCCTGTAGAATATTTGATTGCAAAAGGACCTCTTGTGCTGTGAGTACCAGATGTTTTGGGGGCTGTTTAGCAACGTTGGTCAGAACACTGCTACTACTCAGCAGGCAAAGGTTTGGCTCTCCGGTGGGTTAGAATCGGTTCCTAGACCACAATTCTCATCAACACAATGGCCAATGGATCCCATGGGAGTCAGCATAGTATGAGGGACAGTTAGAGGTGGTCAGGAGCTCTGGGTATAGACTCGGGTTCCTGTCTTAGTTCTAATGCTACCTAGTTTCGAAACGCTCCAGATGCCAATGTTCAAAACGGGGACATTTTTCTCAGAGGACTGTTGATTGGATGAAATGACTTACAGAGAGTATTTCTAAAGACACGTGTGCTCCTAACAGGAGGGGAGAGGCATGAGAGAGCCACTGGGGAGAA